AAAAACAAGATGGTGTGAAATTAAAAAAAAAAAAAAAATCCTTCTCATCAAAGACATGTCCCCTCCCTAGGCTGTAAGGTTCATGAAAGCAAGGACCTCCCACGTAACACTCAGCCCCCAGCAAAGTGCTGGCACACAGAGGTATTCAGCAAATAAATTTGTTAGATGAGCAAATGAATGAATGAAGGACTGAAGGAAGGAATGCTCTATCGGAGGCATAGCCATTTTCTGGGTTGAGTCAGGGAGCACCCACCTTGGGAGAAACAGTCCCTTTGGTTGGGATGACCTTCTACCTGCCCCAAAGGGATTATTGGTCAGCAAGGTTGGGTCCCTTCATGGTTTTCAGAGGGCACCATGCCCGTAGGGAGCCCTCCCTGGAAGGCATTGCTTTGTGCCCTGCCAAGAGCATCATCCACTAGGGCACTCTTCACAAAGTTGTTTCCACACAGCCTTCCTGTCTCCTCCCCTCCCCTCCTTCTCCTTCAGAAAAGCTCCTTGTTCTGTGCATCTGACACATTCTGATAGCCTGGCAGTATCATGGAATTGTTCGTTTGTTCAAGCTGCCTTCCTGTATCGACACCACATTTGTTTGTTTCCAAGCCCTATGGTGCTCTGGGCTGCCTCTCTCCCTTGTTTTGGAGGCTTGGTTGGTGATTTGGGGCCTGGGGAGAGGATGGCCACAGGGTTAAAGTCCTCAATAGGTCAGACAGGTGCGATCCAGAATTTGAGCTGCCCAAGGCCCAACCAGCCAAACTCAGGACTATTGAATTCTTATTGAGCCCAACCAGACTCCAGGGCTGCACACATCCCCGAGTTAGACATGGTGCCTGCCTTCTCCATGGTAACAATGCTAAATACGGACACAGTTCCACGGAGAGCCGCATCACAGCTGCAGCCGTGCTTCCTCCAGGAAGCACACGTGCTGAGTCCAACTGGTATCTCTGGAGGTGGCCAGATGTCTGAGGAGGTGCCTTGGACATCGAGCACGCTTTTCGCAGCTTTGAGCATGGCTGTTTCCAACCACTGTTTCATCTCTCTAGCCCTATAATCATCAGCTCCTGCCAGGTAGAAATTCGAGGCGGTCACAAAGCAGAGAGATGAGTGGGCAGGGCACAAAGGAAGCTGGACTCGATGGTCATTCTTACCCCTCATCACTCTGATCCAGGGAGTGGCTTTTCCTATGATTGGGAAGAAAGAGAATGTTGTCATCAGCGAGAGAGAGAGAGAGAGAATGGGACACCCGGGACAGCCCTTGTGCTAAAACACTGCTGTCTTCCTCCTCAAACCAATTTTCAGAAGAATTACTGCTACAAAGAGTGTTTTCAATGCTTCCAATCATTGGGATGATGTCCTTCCATATTCATAGAATTCTGATGGGACAAGGGTTTCATTATCTCCTTAAAGGCAAGGATGTCTGTGCTGCTTATTTGAACTTAAGTCAAATCTCCTCGTATCTTAACTGTCCAGTACAAGAATATGGAATGAAACTTTGTTTCTGTCAAAAACTAAACATATAAGCTGAGTATTAGGCTTAAAAATACTCGGTTTAACCTCACTTAGTTCTTTCATCATTGCGTCATCTGTGTTTATAGTGTCATCATCCGTTAAATAGGGCTGTCCGCCCACCACTGTTCATATGGATGTATATATTAGGCCATACAGAGAGTGGGCTGTGCTCTCCTGGTTGACTAAGATATGGATACTTTTAAGAAGAGCGAGAGCTCTTAGGCAGTTATAAATGTTCTTGTGAGGAGGGCTCATATTGTGTGTTCTGTCTTGCAGGCCAAGTGACTTCAGCACCAAGTGATGGACAACCTCCAGTCCCAGAACCTCTCCATGGACATGACCGACTCTCCTCCTGCCTTGTCCAATAACAGACTGGAGAATGGCATGGCCCAGCTGATCACCACTGAGGCCTGGAACATCAACTCCACTGACCTGGTAAAGAAGGCCTTGGTGACCGTGCCAGCCCCATCCATTCTGAACCCCCCTGCTGAGTCCCAGAGTGGCATGGCTCTGAAGGTGGCGGCCACCGTGCTGCAGCCCCTGTGCCTTGGGGAGAGCCCGGTGGTGATGCCCATTCACATGCAGGTAGAGGGAAGCTCTGCACCTGAGCTCAACCCCAATGCCAATGCCACCTACGTCATGACCACGCAGGGCCCTGTGCAGCTGCCTGTGGTACTTGAGCAGCACGTCTTTCAGCACCTCAACTCCCCTCTGGTCCTGCCTCAGGAGGCCCCATGCTCCTCCAATGCCATCCACAACAACCTCTTCCAGGGAGCCGAGGACCCCGAGGCCCAGCCCCAGCTCCTAGACCTGAGAATTCCCAGCCAGCCACAGGAGCCTGCTCTGCCCTTTGAAGCTGTGCTCCAGAATTTGTTTCCCGCCCAGGGCTCTCTCGGTCCCCCACCCTGCCAGCCTCCCCCAGGCTACCCCTCTGTACCTCCTCAGGCCTTTAACTCCCCCTTGACCCCACTAGTCCCACCAGCCACTCTCTTGGTGCCCTACCCTGTGATCGTCCCCTTGCCTGTGCCAGTCCCCATTCCCATCCCCATTCCGGTGCCTCAGAGTTCTGAATCCAAGTTCAGCCCTAGTTTCCCCAAGCCACCATCTTCCTTCAGTCTTCACTCCTTTAAAGGCCCTCAGGCCCCCTTAGAAAAGGAAGAACTGAAGCCCTTTGACCTCCTCCATCCCAGGGAGTATTTCCAGCTCAGCCGCCACACAGTCATCAAGATGGGGGGTGAGAATGAGGCCCTGGATCTCTCCATGAAGTCAGTGCCCTGGCTCAAGGCTGGCGAAATCAGTCCCCCAATCTGCCAGGAAGATACGGTTCTAGACCTGTCACTGGCAACCCACCGGAAATCGGAGCCTCCCCCTGAGACCGTGTATGACAGTGGTGTGTCAGTGGGCAGCCCAGGCCACCCTGGGATGGAGAAACTTCCCAGTGGTGCCGAAATGCCCTACCCCTCTCCCACGCCCCACGAGGCCTCCACCATGATGGAGAACCGCATTGGCAGCAGCGAAACCCCCGAGATGCTGAGCCAACCCAGCCACCCCAGTGGTGAGGTCAAGGCCGAAAATAACATGGAGCTCGTGAGCGAGTCCCAGGCAGCCAAGGTCATTGTCTCTGTCGAAGACACTGTGCCTACCATCTTCTGTGGCAAGATCAAAGGCCTCTCGGGAGTGTCCACCAAAAACTTCTCCTTCAAAAGAGAAGACTCCGTGCTTCAGGGCTACAACATCAATAGCCAAGGAGAAGAGGCCATGGAAAATACAGAGCCCCTTAGGAAATCCATAAAAAATCGGAGCATAAAGTTAAAGAAAGTGAACTCCCAGGAAATCCACATGCTCCCAATCAAAAAACAACGGCTAGCCACCTTTTTTCCCAGAAAGTAAACAAGGGCTTTTTTTTTTAAATTTTTATGATTATAATATGGGGAAAGGTGCATTGGTTTTATAAAAAGGCATTTAAAACAAATTATCTTTGTTAATTATTTCGGGGAGTAGTGGGGCAGAGGGAAGGCGAATTGGCTTTAGAAGCCCTGTGAGCTAGTCTTGTTTTCTTTTTTAATTTTTGATTTTCACAAATGAATAACTAAGAGCGACCTATTTTTCAAGCAGATTGCACATTTTTTGCAGCTTTAATGGAATATTGGGTGAATCAGAGGGGGTAAAAAAGCTATTTTCATTGCCACAAAGTGCTTTGATGATGTAATACCTAATAAAGGGTAGGATGAATATTTCACAATAAATGTTTGTTTGCACTAATTGGCTGCAGTATTCGATCATTTCTATAATTTGCATTCCTTTACTGGGATGGCTTGGCCCCAAAGTCTGTCGCTTATAAAGCACTACAAGTTATCTGTGTTATAGACTTAAGTTCTTCTGGCATATTGGGCAAAAAAAGAATAACATTACCTTATTAGCTGTCATTGAAGGAACTCTGGTGATACAAATGACCCATTTGGCTGCTAACCAAAAAAAAAAGGTCACCAGTTTGAACCCACCAGCTGCTCCCTGGGAGAAAGTTGAGGCAGTCTGCTTCCATAAAGATTTACAGCCTTGGAAACCCTCTGGGACAGTTCTACTCTGTACTTATAGGGTCGCTGTGAGTCGGAATCGATTCGATGGTGGTAGGTTTTGCTTTGGTTGCTGTTGTGTGTCACAGTAGAAGTGGGTTCCATAGCTGTCTTAGTTCTCTAGTGCTGCTGTGACAGAAATGCCACAAATGGATGGTCTTAACAAACAGAAATTGATATTCTCACAGTCCAGGAGGCTAGAAGTCTGAATTCAGGACACTGCTCTAGGGGAAGGCTCTCTCCCTGTGTCAGCTCAGGGGGCAGGTCTTTGTCTCTTCAGCGTCTGCTTCTTGGTTCCTTGGGGATCTCTGTGTGTCTTGGCATAAATCTTCCCCCATCTCTGCTTCTCTTGCTTATTTAATCTCTTTCATATCTCAGAAGATTGACTCAAGAGACACCCTACACTAATCCTACCTCATTAACAACAAAGATAACAAAGGATTTGCAACAAACCTCCAACCTTTCCGGTAGCAGCCAAGCATTTAACCGTTTGCACAAACCAGGGACTCCTCTGCCACCATAAAAAGAGAATTAGGAATAAGTATGACCTTGAGCAAGTCATTTTCTCCTCTAGGCCTCAGTTTCTTCATTTGTGAAAATGGGGCAAAAGGAGAAGGTGAGGAGGCAAGTTTCCAGTACCTGAGAGCCCTTCCAGCTCAAGACAGTCCCCTTGGATGTACTGTGCCTGAACCTCCTATAGACTAAAACAGACTAATGTCTCTAAAACGGACCTGCTCCCTGCTCAGAATTTAGCTGGAAAGGACCTTCATTTCAAGGCCAGTAAGAGCATTGTTCTGAATGATAAAAAGTTTTACAGGTCAAAAGCATTCCTGATGGGCACTCACTGGTGGATTAGGAGGAAAGTCCGTTGCTGGTGGATAAGGAGATGTCTCCTAAATATCCCAGCCTTGGATGGAGGTATTTGGGAGTGGGGTGCAGGAAGAAAGAGAAAGCCATTCTTTGCTAGTTTCGCCCAGTGGTCCTCAACTGAGGTGACTCGCCCCCCCAGGAGATGTTTGGCACAGTCTGGAGACATTTTGGGTTGTCACAATTGAAACAGTACTATTGGCCTCTAGGGAGCTCTGGTGGCATATTGCCTAAGGCATTTGACTGCTAACCAGAAGG